ATTAATAAAATACAGTGTCAAACATCACTTCCCACTACCACCTTTGACAACCACCAACGTTCCAAAGGTGTACACTCACTGCCAAGTCCATGCGTTAAACCAGACCAACCATCCATGCACTACTTGTCTTCCCTCCGTTAGGGGAAACAACTCATTTGGTGTTGGTTTCAAATTTTCCAACTTAACAATGGATGGCACCCTCTCAACTTTCCCTGTCTCAGTGGGCTTGCAAGGGGTCCCATGATCCACTGCCTTGGCCACCTTACTAGACATGTTGGGTTGATGTTGAACCCGATGTGTTTGCCTCGTCCTGGTTGGTGCACTATACATTTTCAACTCCTTCGACTCATCAAAGGGGCCAAGAGTTGTCATATGTCTTAGTTTACCCCAACTTGACACATGCTTACTCTTCCCATATGGTTGAGAAGACGGGTGTTTGGACTTACAGAGTTGACAACCACCCTTGTGGCCAACTTGACTCTTTCTAAAACCCATGTCTTCATGGTTTTTACACTTAAAACATAACAACCCTTGATTCTTTATAGGACCATGATTGGTTGATGTGTGTCGAGATGTCTTATTCATGCCTTCTTGTTTGCCATTCACGTTTGGCATGCAATGGGGGGCTTTAGGCATGGACTTGCTTCCTCGTCCATCCCTTAACACCATCTCATACTTAGAAATTTTTTGAGTGGGTGGGGTGTAATGAACACTCCTAGACTTGTTCTCCACTCGTTTCATCATTGTCGGTGACATGCCCCCCTTTCCACTGGTTGGAGAAATGCCCCCCATAGCCTTGTTCATGGTTTTTGACGTGCCCCCTTGCCAAACTCAACTACACTACCATTCTTACTACAAGCATGTGTGGCTTGGGTTTGTTGTGGCTTCTTGGGCATGTGTATCTTTCTATTGTTTGTGGTTGATGATATGCCCCCTTGTCGACCCTTCATGGGTGGCATGCTACAAGGGGCCTTGCCTCCTTGTTCACTCTTTGACACGTTGTCAAAGTTATGAAAATGATAGGTGGCATGGGTAAGAAACACCCACTTAGACTTGCCACTTACTCCATCCTTCATGTCTGATGACATGCCCCCCCTGCCCACTGCATGGAGATGGAGATATGCCCCCCATGCCATCCTTAGGAAATAAATATGGTGTTCTGTTGGACACACCATTTTGTTCACCTTTCTTGACATCAACTTGCCCCCCAGACTGACTCTTCATCTTCAACTTGTCAGGTGGTAGGCTTCCATGCACCTCTTCCTGGCCCCCTGGTGGTTTGCATCCACCAGACCGCTTAAGCATCGATGGCAACGAGGTTGGGCAAACTTGTGGTAGCACATCCATAACTAGTGACCCTCCACCAACTCTCATTTTCAAGAATGGTCTAGCCTCTGGGAAAGTTTTTAGAGTAACTGTCTACACAGGCGGCGATTGCTTTACATGGGTGGTGAATGTGTTAGTAATACTCTTGTCATAACCGCCTTGTTGAAGAGGTGGTTGACTCATTGCCGGAGGCGGTAAGTTCCCTGACCTTGTCTGGGTAGTCCGGCCATCGGAGAACAGGATACTTGTATACTCAGTAGCAATACTTGGTGGCGGATCTATAGCATTTTTTGGTAAAGAAATTTCTCGCACCACTGGTTCTATAAAATCTTTTTTAAACTCATCCAAACAATTTGTATTTTCTATAGTTGCTTCAAGCAATTCATCCAAACGTTTATCTAACATAGAACTAAAAGAAGCAAGTTTTAGACTTGTATGTTGTGAACTTCTAACAAGTCCATTCAAACTCTCTTCCATCAATCGATGGATCTCCACCATCACTTGACGGTTCTCCCCCACCATCTTGTAGTTATCATCCACTATTGAGCGGAGTGACATGACAGTGGTAGTTACAATAGCCACATTAGCAGCGCTTGGGATGATTTTAGGCGCGGCCTATTCTCTTTGGCTATATAATCGTGTGTCGCCGGTGGCAAGATCTCAATCATGCCATTTTCTCCGACAACACTTACTGTTGCTTGGCCAAATTTGAACTTGGCCGCCAACTCCTTCACAACTCCTGGTGAAATATCACCTTCTTGTTCTCTTAGTCGTAGAGCCATCAAATCAAACACACAGAGTCCCACCAAGTGTGCCAATTTGTTTTCCAACGAGGAAAAACTTGTGTTTGAACTCAATAAATGCACCTTTGACTTCTTGAACAACGTGTCTAAACACGGTTCACTCCTCTCCGAACAATGTTCGAACGAGGGTGTTTGATGTTTTTGATGATTTTTTGGAAACAAGCTAAGTTAATTACACCTACTCCTATGGAGGTTCAGTGAGAGCTCTGAAAACTAAGGCTAGGGCTAATTTGCAGAGAAAAGATAAAAGTTTGACATAGTGTGTCAAATGGTTGGTTGTGGCACCTTTTTCCCCGTCTTCGTTTCTCCTATTTATAGCCACCGGGGGTAACTGCCTTGGTAACGGCTAGCTGGCCTCTTGCTCCAAACCGCCTCGGGGTCCTGGTCGCCGCCTTGGTGACTAGTTGGTAACCGTCGCCTTGGGGGCCCTTGTCCCGTCTTGGGGTTGGTGGGTACTTGATAGCCTCGATGTCGGGCCGGGTTGGTGTTGAGCCTTATCGCCCTATCATAATTGGATGGGGTTGAGGCTCTTGCCTTAGCCTTCATGAACCATGATGAGATCTTGATCTCACCCTCGCCTGCTTGATGACTTCTCGCTCCTGAGACCGCTACCACCTCATGACACCAAGTCCTCCTCGTTAACTTGTTGGTTGTTACCAAGCCGTCTCATCGGCTTGACACCTTCTAGCATGCTACCAAGCCCATGTAATCAACTTGACACTCCTTGCTACCAAGCCAGCCCTGGTGGCTTGGTCTCCATATGGCCCCATAAGGGCTCAGCTCTGCACCCTGTCGCCTTGCTTGGCTACCAAGTCTGTCTTGCCGGCTTGGTACCGTGTAGAGGTCTTGGTACATACCCTCTTGCTATGGGTGGTAATGCCCCCTGGCCATGAGATTTCATACTCTGGCTCCATACTTAGCCAAATTCATGTTTTTTCATATCATGGTACCAAGCCTTGCCTTGTCGGCTTGATACTCTCTTGGCTCTATACTTAGCCATTTTTACATATTTGGTTATTAGGTCTGGCTTGCCGCATGGGTACCCCCTTCGCTCCATACTTAGCCAATTTTCATGCCTTTTCAAGTCTGCCTTGTCGGCTTGATACCCATTTGGCTTCATACTTGGACAAATTCATATGTCTTAGCACAAAGCCTGCCTTGTCGGCTTGGTACCCCCTTTGGGTACCAGGCCTGCCTTGTCAGCTTGATACCCTCTTGTTTGGCTCCCTTATTTGGTACCAGCTTGGTACCCGGCCGTTTGTCACCCCGTTGTGTCAACTTGTTTCCAAGACTTAGTTTTTGGATGGCCTCCTATTTGGTATCTGGCTTGGTACCCGGCCGTTTGGCACCTCGTTGTGTTGCCTTGTTTCCACGACTTAGTTTTTGGATGGCCTCCTATTTGGTACCCGGCCGTTTGGCACCCCGTTTTGTCACCTTGTTTCCAAGAATTAGTTTTTGAAGGCCAAATTTCATACTAAGGGTTGGAGGCATCGTCCGGCTTTGGGGGCCTTGGAGACGGGTCGACCATCGTATAGAGGAGAAGGGGGTTGACCACTTAGGCCCAAAAATCTAACCCAACAAGGTCAGGCTGGCTCTTTTAATTATTAATGTTGAGTTGGCCTTATAAATCCATTAATCTCCTTATAATTAATCGATTTGGTACAAGCTGATTTTTTTATGGATAAACAACTATAAATACCCTATTGATTGGATTTTATTTTCAATTACACAAGTCAACACATAAACTGAAGCACCAGAACTTATTGTTTTCTTTTGAACAGAGCCAGAACAAAATCCCCCTTGGCTGGTCCATGGATTCATGGATGGGGGAGCACAATCCATTGCGTCATCTATCCACCGGCTAATCAAACTAATTAAATATTTTGATGCACCTTTTCATTTAAATTAACATATCAATTTAGAACAATAATTAGGCGGTTGTTGTTTTGTTAAGAAACTTTGCTCCTGATTGTGATTAGGATTGAAGAATACTAACCAATAAGTGACAAGGACTCGACCTTCTCAGTGCACACTCTAATAAAAATAATCAACCATGAGTCCATGACACACCCACGTTCATCTCTCATGTAATGTTGATTATATATAATGAATTATTAGCTGCCCGCTGGTTGGATTTTCATTTCTTTAATTTCTTCTTTTTCGTTTTTAGTAATAAACAATGTAACTGAGCTATCTTTGGAATTGTTTAGGAAACATATCAAACTTCTTGTTTACTGTTAAAATTAACAATTAAATTGACCATCAATTATCTGGTGAGTGGTGTTGGGGAAGCATAGATGAGCCCATCTAAGCCCAAAGCCTGATGGGCTTGGAGCCCATTAGTGGCCCATTGAGACGTGGGCTGAGGGACACCAACGGTAAAGGGGCGCTTGGCGACAAAATAGGCTCGTAGACAAAGAAGTAAGACTAAGGAGGGTCGGAAGAACGCCACGTAGGCAAATGGTCCCCCCATGCGCCCTGACACGCAAAGCCAGACGATGCGCCACGTGTAGGCGCTTGGACGTTAGACCCGACCAGGCATTTAATGCTAGGCTGACGTAAGGATTGGTGGCAGGAGTTGGTCGGAGCCTGGTCGAGGAGCTCGAGTAGTATAAATAGCACGCGGTAGGTGGCATTTATGGAGGTCGGTTTCTCTCACTAAAGTTCTATTTCCTCACTTATCTCTCTAGAACGAGCACTGACTTGATCGTTGGAGTGCTAACGAGTGGCACCAGCCCTCTAGGCGTTAGTTTTGCAGGGTCTGAGCGCCTGTGGTGCAGTGATTAGTGAGCGTTTGGAAGATTGAAGTATCCGGGCTTCAACAATTGGCGCGCCAGATAGGGGGCGCATAGCCTGAGAGGATATAGGAAGATGGAAGACTTGAATGAAGGAAACGTAGGCGTGGACGATGAGAGAACGGAGGATTCCGGTCATGAGGGGAGCGGGCAACGGTCTAGCCCCGTGGTGAGCATGGAGGTAGAGGAAGAAAGCCGTGAGCGCCCATCTTTTGAGAGTGACTCATTGTCAAAGAGAGAGCTGTTTAAGATCATCGAGGACCAGGACAAGGCGATAGCCATGCTTCAGAGGGAATTGGATGGAGGAAGGAGCGCCGATGCAAGAGAATACAGCCCCCCGGTAAGGAAGCGTGACATGCTCATGGATGATTCGGACGTTAGTGAATACGGGCGCCCGTACTATGAAGGGCCGCATGCGGAAGTTACACCACCTAGGCGCCCGGGTGTGTGGAGAGCGCCTGGTGAGTTGGTCGGCTTGGGGCCGGAGGAGCAAAACCCATGGACGCCTAGACGCCAGACCAGGCGCTTTGGGATCAGGCAACCCCTGGCGCAAAGTGTCCTGATGGAACCAGCATGAACTACACTCCCACCTCTGACCAGCTATGACGGGGTCACCGACCCGGAGGACCATTTGAATAGCTATTTTACGAAGATGCAGCTGTATAACAGCACGGACGCCACGCTATGCAAGGTGTTCCCTTCGACATTCGCGGGAGTAGTTTTGGATTGGTACCATCAATTAGAAGAGGGACGCATTGAGTGCTTTGAACAGTTCGCGGAATTGTTCTTGTCCAAATTTGCGAGTCGGAAGCGTCGAACACTGACTATAGGCGCCTTGTTTAAAATCAAGCAGAAAGACGGGGAGGCGCTTAGAGAGTTCTATGACCGGTGGATTTTGGTCGCCATGGCTGTGAAGGATGTGCAACCACCCGTCCTAGGCGTATGCCTAGAGGAGTGCATGAACAGTGAGGAGTTATGCCGAGTGCTGTCGAAGAAGGCTGTAGTTTCAACAGAAGACTTGGATCGAAGGGTTCAGAAGGTGATTGCCTTGGAGGAGACCTTGGCTGCAAGAAGAGCAGAGAAGAGGCGCGTGGGCCGAGAAGAGATTGAAGTGCGCCAGGCTCCCAGACCATTCATTATGAACAACGCTCCGCAGAGGAGAGTGGAGAGTCAGCGCCCTATGCCCAGGAGTGCGGGAAGCTTTACGGAGTACAATGATTCCTTGAAAAACATTCTACAGTACGTGAAGGATAGAGGGTATCATGTGCGTTGGCCGGGACCCATGCATGGGCAACCAAATGAGCGAAATCTTGACCGATATTGCGACTTCCATCGGGATAAAGGGCACCATACGGCCGATTGCTATCAACTAAAATCGGAGCTGCAGACTCTAGCCGATCGAGGGATGCTCAACAACTTTGTAAGAAAAACAGATGAGCGGACCCATCGTGCTTACGTCACAAGAGAAACAAGGCAAGCGCCTGTAGGTCCCACTACGCCAAGGGCGCCCATCCTCCCCACAGTGCAACAGGCGCCTGAGGTTCACCCACCCCCGCTTGAGATACCCCCGCCTCCGTTTGAGGTGAACCAAGAGGGAGAACCCAGCCGGGTAAGGCTCACCGTGGAATCCATAACTGGTACCATTGACTTGCGAGATAAGTTGGATCGGTCTAGGCGCCTCAGGGCCGCGTCAGTGGAAGCAAAGGCGGCTGTCCAGATATGCTTTAATCAGGAGGCGGATGAAGCATGTCAAGTACCTTCGGAAGAGGCTTTGGAGATATAGGGAATCATTGCAGGGTGCAAAGTCAAAAGGATGTTGGTAGACACGGGAAGTTCGATGGATGTTTTGTTTAAAAGTACATTCGAGCGCATGCAATTGGCGCCGGAGTTGGTGAGCCCCTCTGATTCAGTGCTGATAGGGTTCTCGGGGGCGCCTGCTCATGTGATAGGACGTGTGCGCCTTCTGGTTACATTGGGTGATGGGACGCATCGAGTAACACATGCAGTGGAGTTTGGGATAGTGGATTGCCCCTCATCGTACAATGTCATACTGGGAAGGCCCCTTTTGGCGTTATTCAATGGGGTGGCCTCAACTTGTCACCAAACGTTGAAGTTCGTCGCCCCGCAAGGCATAGGAATCTCAAGAGGGGAAAGCGCCCCCAGCTACGCGCAGGAGGCAGAATGGAGAAGGAAAGGCGCCCGGAGGCACAGGGTGAACAACATAGATATCCGCCCAGAAGAGGCGCCAAGAGCAGAGCCAGTGGATGATGAGTTCAGTGTGCCAATTGAAGAAGGGCGCCTAGACCGTCAAGTGAGAGTGTCAGCACAGGCGCCAGAGCACATGAGGGCGCCCTTAATCAATTTGTTAAGAGAATTCGGGGAGCTTTTTGCGTGGAGCCCTCAGGACATGCCGGGAGTGTCTCCAGACGTGGCGGCGCATCGATTGGCCGTCGAAGAGGGAAAAAGGCCTGTCCAACAGAAACGAAGAAACTTGACTCAAGAGAAAGAGGAAGCCCTGCGGAAGGAGGTCGATAAGTTGCTCGAGGCAGGGTTTGTTGAGGAGGCCAGATATATCACTTGGCTATCGAACGTTGTATTCGTCCCAAAGCCGTCGGGAGATTGGAGAATGTGCGTGGAATTTACCAACCTTAATCGGGCGTGCCCGATGGATGCTTACCCAATGCCGCGCATTGACCTACTGGTGGATGCCACGGCCTATCATGAGGCGCTTAGCTTCCTTGACATGTTTTCGGGGTATCATCAAATTCCCATGGTAGAGGAAGATAGAGCAAAGACCGCCTTTATGACCCCCTTTGGCAACTTCTGTTATAGGGTAATGGCATTTGGTTTGAAGAATGCAGGCGCCACATATCAGCGCATGGTAAATCAAATCTTTCGTGAGCAGTTGGGAAGGAACGTCGAGGCATACGTAGACGATTTGATCGTGAAAAGCAAGAGGCGCCAGGACCACATCTCAGACTTGAGGGAAACATTCGAGACTATGCGCCTGTATAAGCTGCGGCTCAACCCAAAGAAGTGCGTATTCTTAGCAGAAGCTGGTAAATTTTGGGATTCATGATCACAAAAAGAGGAATTGAAGCCAACCCCAAGCAAGTTGAAGCAATCATGAGTTTGAAGCCCCCCCGAACGCCTAAGGAGGTGCAAGGATTGACGGGAAGATTGGCGGCGCTGGGGCGCTTCATCCCACGAGCCTCCGATCGAGGCGCCCCCTTTTTCAGAACTCTCAAAAAGGCAAGCAAGTTTAAGTGGACGGAGGAGTGCGATGAGGCATTCGGAGATTTAAAGAAGTTGTTGACCGCGCCCACTGTGATGACCGCGCCTAAGATCAAGGAGACGCTATACTTGTACATTGCGGTGTCCCGGATTGCGGTGAGTGCGGTGTTGGTGTCCAAAGATCCGTCGACGAATGAGGAAAGGCCGGTATACTACGTGAGCCGCACCATGGTGGTGCATGAGACAAGGTATGCGCCCATTGAAAAAGCAGCGTTGGCGGTAGTGATGGCGGCTAACAAACTCCGGCCTTACTTCCAAGCTCATAGCATCGTGGTACTCACGAACTTGCCTCTCCGAACGGTCCTAGGGTCCATCGATGTTTCGGGGCGCCTGGTTAAATGGGCCGTCCAGTTGAGCGAGTTTGATGTGAGTTATGCGCCCAGGCCAGCCATCAAGGCGCAAGTGTTGGCTGATTTCGTGGCCGAAGGAGTTGTTGATACGGGGAATGGCGCGGAAGAATGTTGGCAAGTTCAAGTGGACAGAGCGGCAAGTCGAGCTGGAGCGGGAGCAGGTATTGTGCTAATTAGTCCCCAGGGAGCTATGCATGAGGTCGCACTGCGTTTCGCAACTCTTAAGACGAATAATGCGGCGGAATACGAAGCGGTCCTGGCGGGGCTCCACATGGCAAGGGAGTTGGGCGCCCAGAGAGTTAATATCCAGACTGACTCGGCGCTCGTGGTCAATCAGTTGAACAATGTGTATGAGGTGAAGGAGGAGGCGCTCGGTGCATACGTTCACTCCGTCAGGGAGAAGTGTGCATGGTTTCGGGAGGCTACTTTCACGCACGTCCCAAGAGAAGAAAATGCCCATGCGGATGCCCTATCTAAATTGGCCACGGCGTTGGATTTTGGAGAAGACAGAAAGGTGATCGTTACCAGGGAAGCCTCGCGTGATGAGGGGGTGATGGCGTCTATCCTTGTAGGAGTCATGGAAGGATGGATGGCACCTATCATGCTTTACCTAACGCAGGGCGTGGTCCCAGAAGACCCCAAAGAGGCTTGGCGTTTGAGAAGGAAAGCGGCACGATGTGTCCTCATGGAAGGAGTGTTATACAAGAGATCCCACTCGGGCGCCTATCTGCGTTGTCTCGCGGAGGCCGAAGGGCAAAAGGCCATCGCGGAAGTGCATCAAGGGACGTGTGGAATGCACGCAGGCGCCCGGAGCCTAGAGAAAGTGCTGCTAAGACAGGGTTATTACTGGCCGACAATGAGGGCTGACGCTGGGAAGCATGTGGCCAAATGCCATCAATGTCAAATTCATGCCAACGACATACATGTGCCGGCAGCACCCATGCAGGGAAACGTAGGCGCCTAGCCATTTGCACAATGGGGGATGGATCTTCTGGGACCCTTCCCCAAGGCGCCCGGACAATTTAAGTACTTGATTGTGGCTATTGACTATTTTACCAAGTGGATTGAAGCGGAACCTTTGGCATCCATCACGGAAGTGCAAGTGCGGAAGTTCACAAGAAAGAACATCTTCACAAGGTTCGGGCTGCCGGAGTCGATCATCACCGACCATGGCAAGCAGTTTGATTGCAAGAAATTTATCGACTTCTGCGACGAAAATGGAGTGGTCCTGAGATTCTCTTCTGTAGCTTATCCGCAAGCGAACGGGCAAGCTGAAGCGGCCAACAAAAGTATATTGCATGGGCTGCACACCAGGCTCGAAGAAGCTAAAGGGAATTGGGTGGAGGAGCTTCCAAGCGTCTTGTGGGCGCACAAGACCACCTTCAAAGTCGCAACCGGGGAAACGCCCTTCGCACTAACATACGGTAGTGAAGCGGTGTTACCAGTGGAGATTCACATTCCAACCTTTCGAATGGCGCATAAGGAGGAAGCAATGGAGGAACAAGAGCGAATCAATGAGTTGGATCTCCTCGATGAGCGTCGTGAAGGGGCGGCTCTGCGCCTGGAAGCAATGAAGTCGCAGGTGGCCCGATATTACAACAAGAAAATGCGTCCGCATGACATTGAGGCAGGGAGCTTGGTGCTAAAACACGACTTTCTCCCAAAACCCACTGATGGAAAGTTGGCACCAAAGTGGAAGGGACCATATCGTGTGCAAGAGGTAGTTGGGCCGGGCACGTTTAAGCTGGAGCATCTATCAGGAAAAAGGGTAAAAAGGACTTGGAATGCCCAAAACTTACGAAGGTATGGATTTGTGGAGAATGATGGGGCGGGAGAAGATGGCAGAGAGCAGGGAGAGGCGTCTAGCAGTGGGTAGTCGCAAAGGAGAGCGCCAAGCCTTGGGGAGTTTTTTTTGGTAGGAGTAGGGAGAAGC